ATGACCTGTCTTGCTAAAATATACCCATTCTTCTCCCTTTGAGCATTTCACTCCCAGCTGTGTTCCTCCTGGACCTAAGTTCTTTCCCACCCAATACTGGTTTCCCCCAAGGCTACAAGTAGTTAACTGCCTCTGATCATAGCACTGCTGATTTATATGGGTATGATAACTGAAACTGATATAGTAACTTAATTTTTGATAACAATCAATTTTTCCAAAAGTCTGGATCACCCCAAAGGCATGTTTGGAGTCTTTATACATTGTTCCAGTCTTCCCTTCCAACAGCTCTAGGGCTTGTTTCAAGGCATATAATTCAAATGTTAGAGCCGACCAGAAATTAAGGAGCCTTCCTTTTTCCACTATTCTGTGCACTATTATCGCATACCCGCTATGATGCTTCCCATTTATACAATGAGACGACCCATCTATAAAGAGCCTCTTTTCCTTGGGTAATGGTCTTTCTCCTAAATCTTCTCAAACTTTAGTCCAGTATTCTATGATGTCTAGGCAGTTATGGTTCAGTGTCCCTTCCTTGATTTCCCCATAGAAATATTGGGAGGGATTGAGGCTTTTGTCAGTGTTTTAAACTAGATCATCTTTTTCCATTAAGATGGCCTCATATTTTAGAATCCTAGAATTGGTCAGCCACCTTCTGGACTTCTGGCTTAATATTGTTCTGACTACACGAAGGGTGGACACTATAAGCGCTCCCCCAGAGGTCAACTTCCTGCTTTCCTCTACCAGTAAGGCTGTTGCTGCCACCACCTGTACACAGGTTGGGCAACCCCATGACACTGGATCCAGCATTTTGGATAGATAAGCTACCAGTCATTTTTGTCTCCCGCATATTTGGGCTAACACCCCACAGGCTACTCCATTCTCAGCATTTACACATAAGAGGAATGGCTTTTCTAGGGAGGGGAGAGACAGCACAGGTGCCCACATTAGTTTTTGTTTTAATTCTTCAAATTGTTGCTGCTCACTTGTCCACTTGGCCTTTTCTGTCTCCTCTTGCAATTTTTCATACAAGAATTTAACATGTTGACTAAAACTTTCCATCCACAACCTACAGTATCCAGGAAGGCCTAAAAACTTTCTTATTTATTTTTACTTCCCAGGAGAATAATTGCTATGACACCAGAAATTCATTCTGGGTTTATCCTCCTCTTCCCTCTCCTGAAAAAATGTCCTAAGTACTTTACTTGTCTTTCTACAAACTCCAATTTAATTTTTGATACTCGGAGCCCTTTCTCTCCTAAAAAGTTTAGTAAATGAATGGTAGTGGATGGAACCTTCGTTTTCTTTTCCCCGGATACCAACAGACCGTCCACATATTGGAGCAATTTGATCCCTGGGGGAAAAGGTAATTTCCTCAAGAATTTGTTCTAATACCTGCCCAAAAATATTGGGTGACTCAGTACATCCTTGTGGTAAAGTGGTCCAACAGAGCTGTTGTTTCCTTCCTGTCGAGCAGTCCTCCCTTTCAAATGCAGACATGCCTTGACTTTCTACTGCCAGAGGACAGGGGCAAAAGGCATCCTTAAGGTCTACCACGCTGAACCACTTACGGTCGTTGGGTATCTTACTTAAGGATGTATAGGGGTTGGGTACAACTGGGTGGCGCGTCTGAACAGTTGTATTCAGTTCCCTCAAATCCTGCAATAACCTCCAACCCCCATCTGATTTCCTTACTGGTAAGATGGGTGTGTTGTAGGGAGAGATACATGGGTCTAAGAAGCCATCTTTTAACAAACCCTCAGTCACGGGTTGGAGCCCTCTCCTCCCTTCTAAAGATAAAGGATATTGCTTCACACACACAGGTTGACTTTCTTTTTTTGATTCTACTCCTAAAGGAGGTATATTTAATCTTCCTCTATTGCCTTCTGCTACCCAAACTATTCAGGCCAATCTGTTTTTCATCTTCTGCTGTTAGTTTAAATAGCGGTACCACCATCTTGTTATCCTTTGGAACTATTCCAATTCCCAAAGGAATTTGTAAATCCCTCCCCAATAGGTTCACTCCAGCCTATAATATCATTATTTAGCCAGCTATAACTTCCTTCTTACTCCCCTGGATCATTACCTGTTCCACAATAGGGACTGGGAATCCCTCCCCTTTTTTTTCCTGTTTCCTACCCCTGCTGAGTTTTTATTATACTTGTCCTCTCCACTCCTGAGTCTACTAAAGATGCATATTCCTCCTTCTGGGGTCCTAATTTTAAATATATCAAGGGCTCAATATGCTGATTAGACCCCAGAAGGTAAAGCCTCTGACACCTCTATTCTCAAGAATAATCATCTTGCTCCATCATTTGGAACACCCTACTCTCTTTCTGTCTCATTGGACCTTCTTTCCCACAACAGCAGCACCTCTTTGAACCCTCTTTGTCCTTGTTGGACTCTAAAGCCCCCACATCCTGGTCCATAACTGGGCCCTTGACTGTGATTTGGTAACTTTTCTCTTTCTCTCCCTCTCCCTGGTTGCCGCTTCATCACCTGTTCTACTGTGGCTGCCATTAATTTGGCTTTAGCTCTCTGTTTCTCGTCATCCCTTCTGACATACACCTTTTGGGCCTCCCACAACAGATCATTCAAATCCCAGTCATGCCAATCTTACAGCTTTTCCAACTTTTTCTTTGTATCAGGCCAGGCCTTTGTGAAAAAATTGACTTTCAACAACTCTTGCCCTGCATCCCTCCCAGGATCTATTCCTGAGTATTGTTGCATATTTTTCCTTAATCTTTCCAGCCAATCTGCAGGGGGCTCATCCTTCTGTTGTTTACTGTCAAAAGCCTTATCGAAATTTTGCCCCTTTGGGACGGCCTCTCTTATTCCTCTGATGACTAATCTCCTGTAATCAGACATATTATTCCTCCCCTCAACAGTGTTTTGATCCCAAGTAAGCCTTGCTATGGAGAATTTCTGCTCCTCCAGAATCCCTCCCTGGACATTGGGAGGATCTTCCCGCTCCCAGATTCTGATCCCAGCAGCTCGTATCATCTGTCCTTCTTCTGGTGTAAACAGGGCCCCTAAAATAAACTGCATTTCATCCCAAGTGTAAAGGTTGGAGCCCAAACACCGGTCAATTTGGTCTGACAAACCCAATGGGTTTTCCAATAGCTTTTTAGTTTCCTGTTTAAATTCTTGACCTTCAGTACTGGTCAGAGGCACATTCACAAACCCCACTCCTTCCGGAGCTCCTTGCATGGGCAATTCCCTTACGGGGAACATGATGTCCTTAGATGCCCTTTTAGAAGAAGGTAAAGGAAAATTCTGGACATCCCTTTTAATCTGGTCCAGTTCTGTGGCTTGGGGCCTTCGTACTTCCTCAAGTAAGGGGGTACCTGGTCCTGCAGAATCATCCCCATCTGCACTACCCTCTCCGTCCTCCTCGTTCTCTGCTATCAGATCATGGGGTTCATCCCTGGGGTCATATGGAGGTGGTAAGTGATCTACGGGATCCCACTTTTCTTCCTTCTTTTTCTCTTTATCTCCCCCAAGGTTCTTAGCCATGAAAAACAAGTGAGGCCATCTCCAACATAAGCATGTTTGCTTTCTTATTGACTTGCAGGCTTTCTATTGTTTGCATACAAATTCAGAGCCTGACCAATCAAGTCTTCCATTGACCCAAACTTTGGCCAATACAGTGGGTCAGATCTAATGGGTTCCTTAACCCATTCAAACATACTGTATCATTTTTTCCTGTCTCTTCCCTGGGTGCAACCTTGCCCCCAATTCTTGAGCATCACCCCTTGTGGACTGTCGGGTGTAATGCTTGGACTGGGATCCTCAGATCTCCCTCCCTTCTTACGATTCTTTTTATTAGGCCTATTTGCCATTATCCTAGCTTCCCACGGGATACCTTTCACCTAAAACCCTTTCACTTTGCCCCATCACCAGTCGGAGAAATGGAACTGTGGTTTAAAAGGGCTCCACACTTGCTTTGCAGGGAATCCTGCGTCTCATTCACACACTCTCAGCCCTACTATCCCATCCCAGTAATACTTAAAAGTTGATTTTCTTTCCCGAGTTCCATGCACAGAAATTATCAGCTGCCACGCGTAATTCAGTTTTGTCAACTCATCAGTTCCTCCTTTACCCCTTTGCTTCGAGTGTCCTCTGTCTGGGCAGGACCCACTGCCTCTCATAAAATGAGACAGGAGGCTGGAGACTGCTGGAATCAGGAGGGTGCACCCCTCCGCTCTCGCTGCCCCATCCCGCAGAAACAGGGGTGCTGATCCCTGATGAGCCCCCAGATTGTGAGAACCACTCGCCCACGAATAGAATATAGAGAGGACAAAGTATTCAACACAAAGATGTAAAAAATTTATTAAAAATAACATACGAGTCAGCTGAGTCGGGTGCATCTGAGAAAGAGGCACACCCAGCTACAAAACTTCAGGTATTTATACCCTCTCCTCAATCACCACATTTCCTGCCCCTTTTCCCATCGCTGTGGTACTTTAGGGCTCACATCCTTTCGCGATGGTTTAGCCTGTCACGGGCACAATCACCATTCTTCCCTTTCAAGGAGTTGTTCTTCTAAGATACTCAACCTCGCTCACGTGTCTTTGCGATCGGCTTCGCCGACGTACCGTCGCTCTTCCGTACAAAATGGCTGAAACCTAGAAAATGGCTGAAGCAAAAAAAATCCCTGAGTTAAATCGCCCACAAAAAAAACCCAAAACACAAAACCCACAACCATGCGTTAGCGCGCGGCCCGTGTCTGGAATCCCCGCTAAAAAAAAACCAAAAAAACCCCACAAACCGCTGTGTTTAAACTCAAACTCGGTGCCCGCGATTAGAAAAAAATAAATAAAATATTAAATAAATAAATTAAACAGGCCTCTCCGATCTGTCGCTCAACCCACGCGCCGTGACGCCATCCTCCGCCGACCGGGAAGGGGAGAAGGGGCGGTGTCGCGCTGATTGTGCGTCATGGGTGGCGTAGCGGTAGCTGATTGGCTGCGGCGGGGCGGGGCGGGATGGCGGCGCTGCCAGCGGGCGGGCGGCAGGTAAGGGGAGCACGGAGCGGCGTGGGGGCTTTCGTGGCAGGTGGGTGGCGGGGCTCCGCGGGGTGCCACGGGGCTCCGCGCTTGGGGCCGGCCCGTCGGCGGTCCGAGGGAGGGAGGGAGGGATGCAGGCCTCCCCCCCGACCCCGGCCCCCAGGCCTCCCCAGGCCCCAGGCCTCCCCCCGGACGCCAGGCCGGCCCCCCGCCTCCCTTCACAATTAATGCCGTTTTTAAATTACTTTCTCATTACAGTAGCGTTGTTGCTGCTCCGGGTATGCCTGTTCGCCGGGCCTCCTCTTGAAACCCGCCCGAGGTTTCTGGCCGGTGCTCTCCTGCTGGAGCCCTTCGCCCGGTACCTGGATGGAAAGAAGTTGATGGTGGCCCGAGGTGATGTAGGGTGGAGCCGCGGGCATCCTCTCCCCGTTCTTACCCCGCTGTCAGAGGGGTAACCTTTGGCAGGGCTTGTAGCTGGGATCTAATTATCTTTTCTCAGTCAGTTTTCCCGATTTAGAGCCTAAACTGAAGTCTCTCAGGGCTTTGGCGTTTAAGGAATGTAATGCTTTAATGTGATTCGTAAATGTAGTCTGACATGCTTTGTCTGGAAGCAGTTCTGTTAGGAAAAAGTGTGTATGACTCCAGAATGACTCTCAAGGGTATTGTCAAGTTGCTAGAATCTGAAAACAAATTGATCAGAACTGTTGATTTTTCAAGCTAGAAACTTCAATCAGAACAGTATAAATAGTATTACATATATTAAGGAATATGCTGGCTGGCTTATGCTTTGTAATAGTGGCCATGTTTATGAAATCTGTAACAGAATAAAATCCAAGCTTTTCTTTTAAAGGAGTATGTTTATCTTGCCTTCTGCCTGTTTTGCAGATATTTGTGGTGGTAAAAGACTTGAACTGCAGCTGAATAAAACCAGGGCTGAAAATTGAAGGATGGCAGCAAATCCTTCAGGACAAGGTAGGTTTTAATCTAAGTATTCCATGGGAAGGACTATGTGCAGAATGTCAGTGAAGTCACCGAAACCCTAAGTTTATTTTATAGAAAGAACCAAAAGGGGAAGAGAGGCAGGAAGGTGGGGCTGGAAGCAGCTGAATGTGAGCAAGCCTTCTGGGCAAAGACACACACACTAAATGGTTAAAAAAGACCATTGTTGGCGAGGGAGCTCTGCATTACTGTGCATTCATTCATACTTGGGTTATGAAGTACCTGTCGTGCCTGTGGTGCTGTGGATATTTCTTAAAGCATATTTCAGACACGCTGCTTAGCATTGAACATGACTTAACAGCTGTTGTGCTCAGCATCAGGAAACAGCCAGAAATCTTAATATATTCTGTGTCGTGATGGGAGCAGCAAGACACGAGTGGTAACAGCTGTCAAAGATAGATAGCAAAGTGGCCTGGCCTAGGAGGAAAAGCCAAATAAAATATAACGCAGACTCTGATTGAATGTTTCTTTGCATGATGGCGTATCTGAATTGCATCCATAAAATCGTTCCAGAGGTGGAAATAGTCCATCTATCCAGCTGGGGCGTTGGAGGGAGCTGAGGGTCGGGCGGGGTGTCACACGGTTTGGTTGAAGGAGGGTCTTCAATCGCCCTCTAGAGGTGCTTTCTGGGAATCCGAGTGGAACTTTGGGGCTTGTCTCTTCTGCAGAGGAGCCGAGGAGAAGGAATATCTGCTTGGATATGGCTCTTAGCTTACTGGTTATGAGAAATGAGATCAGAATTCAGGTTCCCTGAGACTTCCTCATGCACATTTGTGCGTGATTGTCTTTATCCGGGAAAGCAGTCCCACAAAGTTGGGTGTAATTAATTCTGAAGTGCTGATACTTCAAAGGAGGTACCAGGATCCACTTGTGTGGGTCCCTCCCCCTCCCTCCCCAATGGCTCTCTGCTTTCAAAACAAAAACAGAAAAGAAGCCTTGGTCCAAAAGGCAGATTTTACTTGCCACTTGGCAAAAAAAAGGTAGTTTTTCTAAACCTTATTGAGCTTTTCTAAAGCGTTGAGAAGGGAGCACTGCAAATTGCAGGTAGTTGTCTTATTGCAAATTTTAACTCTGAGAAGCTTTTGATACGCAATGGTAGATCTTGCTTTAGTCTGTGAATACCAGGTCAGCATTATTGCGAGGTATAGAATGTTGTCACAGAGAGTTAACAGCTACTTTTTATTAAATATGAGAATTTACTGAGAAGCGGGATGGGGTTTTAGTGCCAGAATGCTTTTGGTTCCCTCCAAATTCCAGAGGCTTATAATTTAATAGAGCCACAGAATCTGCTTTTATACTTTGAAATACCCTGTAGAGACTCACTAAAGGAACTGTTTAATTATATGAAAATTACTTGCACTAAGCAGGCAGGAAACACCATAAAGCTTAATCACTCAAATGAGCCTCTAAATAATACATCTAGGAAAATTAGAAAGGAACGGGTAAATACATGCGACAGTTCAAGCTTTCTGTATCTTCCTCTTGGCCAGATGCAGTCTCATAGTGAAAATGATTGAGAGAAATACCGCATTTTCAGCTTGCTGAAACAGCACATACATTGGTACCATTCAGGCAATTCATTCTGTTATTTCCTTCTTCTTGGACAAAAGGAATAGAGATTTACTGAAACTGGAAGGGTTAGGAATGGTAGCACCTACATAGAGCTGAAAGGATTAATTAAGCATTAGCCTTCTACACAGGTAGAGTGTGTTTGTAATTTTTTTGTACCGAGTTTTTTTTCTTTCATCAGTATTGGGTATTTTCCTGGGAGTTAATTGAGTTTTCTATTAATTTCAGACTCAGACTACCAAGGTTAAGATTTTGTGGACTGGACTTTATTTAATTTATCAGACCTTTAGGAAAGCAGTCTCTTGATTAGAATTTCAAAAATTTGGAGCTGCATATGAGTACATCAAAACCAAATAGAATTGAATGAAGGCCTTAGTTCAGGCTGTTAGTACCACATAGAACTGATTGCCCTGATTGCATGAGACTGATTACAGCATTTAAAAGTAACAGAAAAGCTTTTAGCATGCTGTGTATTGTTCATATGATGAGCCCAAGTGGCAGGGGAAAAAATCAGCTTCTTAATTACAGAAATTACTTTCAGGTGCTTGGTAATACTTGCATTAATTGGACTGGTCTTGTAATGCTTTTGCTTGTGCAGCAAAGCCAGAGCATACCTTGTATGTTCATAAATTAAAGACTCCATATGTGGGTTCTCCCAGATGAAGCCCTCTGAGGTGAGAGAACTGTGACTGTGTTCAGGAAGGAACTCTCCTTTAGAGAGTTCCACAGGTGGAAAAAATACAGGTCCTGCTGTAGGACCTGTAGGGGCTGGACTTTTCTGTAAAGAAGAGTTTCTGTACGTTGGAAGAACCAAGCTCAATACGTACAGAATTCTAAGCTTCAGGCTGCAGCAATTCTATGTCTTTTTTGGCCTGAGGTTTTGTAAGCACATCACCTAACAGTCTGAGTTGCTGGATTTAGCTTTCTGTTCACTGAGTCTGTGTTAAAAAGGCAGATTGTGCTGTTCTGCGTTGAATTATGTCATCAGCCACAAACTTTGCTGCTGTGCACCTGAATTCGATCTGTGTGCAAGTGTAGCACTTAAGAGATGTGGTACAGCCTTCCCCTGGAGAACTTTGCGGCCATAAAGCACTCAGTGACTTACATTCACCTACACTGAATTACTAATATGCCTTTCATTGTCACACAACGAATATGAAAGCATATATGAGTGTAGGTTGTTACTGAAAAGTACTGAAGCGCAGCAGAGTATTAGATGATGTTTTCTGATGCCAGTAATCATAGGCAGAAGAGGAAATTAAAATATGGTTTATCCATCCTTTTTCCCCAAACGTTGTGTGTTTAATAAGGCCTTTAGATTCTGTTTTTTAAAAGGTTGCTGCCTTGTGTCATGAAGGATGACAATTATGTATCCTGGAAGTGTTCAAGGCCAGGCTGGATGGGGCTTTGAGCAACCTGGTCTAGTGGGAGGTGTCCCTGCCCATGGCACAGGTACTGGAACTCAGTGATCTTTAAGGTCCCTTCCAACTCTGACCATTCTATGATTCTATGAATTACTGAAGCATGCATTTCAGTAAAGGAACTGCTGTGAAACGCTTTCTGAATTGAGCAGGCAGAACAGCATGCAGTACCAGTGTACGGAGCCAAGAGTAGACGACCAGCTTTGAAGCTGTTTTTCCAAGTAGATGTGTATCTTGAACACACAGCAGTGGAGGGCTCTTTTGTGCTGTTATGCATCTATGGACAAATGATAATGCGTGCTAGAAAAAGCTTACACATACTGTGAATTTGAAGCAACCAGCAGAACAGGGGAAAGAGATAAGATGAAAAGCAAAAAATTTTAAAGTAGATAAAGGTAAAACTGTTTCCTGCCATGCAGTTACCTAGTAGAACTAACTGACATGCATATCGGTGAGGCAAGGTGGTAGTATTAGGTGTAAGGATTAGATTAAAGAGCGAAGCTGGCTGTGAGCTGTGAGCGAAGCTACCAGTATCACTCAGCAAAGCTTCAACTTTCTCTGATTTTCTGACTTTCACATGCAAAACATCAGTGCAAGTTAACATTTAGCTCCTGCACAGAGCACGTAATACAGTGTCTGATGTCAGAAATAGAGGTGTCAGAAAGGTTAAAATTCTGAATGTCCTGAATCTGCTACCATAGAGAGAATTCTGAGGATCCGGGTGTTCAGTTTGACATCTGACACTGCCCTTAATCTGTTAAGTTGTCTTGAAGGGGTTAGTTTGTGTCAGGACTCTTTGTGTCTGCAAAGCAGAGAATATTAATGCACTGCAATATTCATGAACTGTTCAAACTCAAAATAGTAGGGCAACTCAGTGTAGTTAATGGGAGTCTAAACTTAAAACTTCACTAAGAGGTTGCTGTGTTTGAAAATCTACGCTTCCTTTCACAGATGAGAATCCGGTCTGTACTAAGGATGGCTTTTTTTTTTTTTGCATGTCTCTTTTTGTAGTACTAGGAAGCAGAACAGACATTTCAAACCTACAGATGAAAAATTCTTTCTTTGTAATTCAAATAGGAAACTTATGTAGCTGTTTCAAGTTGGTCTTTATGGAAGCATTTTGGGGTCCTGGACAGGGAAGAATCTAAATGTCTGTCTCGCTTATGTATTGCCAGATATGAATTATTTTGTAAGGATGCCAAATTTTCTCTCTACAATGAGTTTATCATGTCCTGCCTCCTCCATTGTTAACTTTAAATTAACTGGTTTTACTTTGCATTTTAAAAAAGCTTAAAATACCTGTAGGAACTTCACATTGCTCAGGTGAGGAGCAGTAACATGTACTGATGCCGAATTTGCCCCAAAAGGCGAAATAGAAACTGCAGTCTCAGAAAATAGAAACTGCTCAGAGACTAAGTTTTCAAGTCCATAAGCAGGAGGTATTTATTAACAACGCGTTGGGGAACTCTCCAGGCCGCCCTGGACAAAGAGTTCCGTCGGTTAGCAATCAGTGCAGCTTTTTTATACAAGTTTGAGTGTAGGTTACAGAATCTTTACATGCATATTCATATCTTTACATGCATATTCATATCTTTACATGCATATTCATATATAGGCGGAGTCTTCCATTTTGGGTAGTCATCTGGTGGGAGTTCCGGTGCCTTCATCAGGGTGGGGGATTGTCTTGTGAGTCTTCCTCAGGTTAAACTTCTGAACTCTTCCTAATTTGGGTAGCTTCTTGGTGTACTTGGCAAGGTCGGAGTGACCTTGGTTCATCCTAAAATTCTTGAAGCCACTACTTCATGTTCTGGTGTTCCTTCCTATCAACTCGTTCTGTTCTCTCAGACAATTTATTACCTTCGTGATTTGGTAAGATCCAGCAAATATAGCCTGACTGACCACAAACGGGGCCTGCAACTACTCAGAGCTATGATAAGTGACAAGAGAGGAAGGCAGGAATGTAGGGAGTAGTCCTGAGACCAG